GGCTCCGGTGAGGCAATGGGCACCGCTTGCCTTGCCCCAGCCCCCGCCCGCCCCCAGATCGCATTGGGATGTCTCCGGCGGGCAGGCGAGGGCTCAGGCGAGGCGATCTGCATCCCGCATCCCTCCCTGATTGACCACTGTGATTCCAAGCCAGTAAGGGCTGCCTTCAGGACGGTGCTCCACGTCCCTCACCCCCACCCCAGGCCTGAGAGCAGTGCTGGGCAGGGGCACCCAGGGGTTTGGGAATGCAGCACGAGACATGTCCCAACGCGATCAGGGGGCGGGCGGGGGCTGGGGCGAATGCAAGCGGTGCAGATTGCCTCGCTGGAGCCCTCACCCGCCCACCGGAGACACGGGGCCCACTCTGAGAGAGACAGAGAGAGAGAGAGAGAGAGAGAGAGAGAGAGAGAGAGAGAGAGAGGCGGAATTTTGCATCCCGCTTCCCTCCCTGATTGACCAGCACGAGGGGCTGGCACAACGTGGGCTGCCTTCAGGACGGTGGATGGTGGCCCAGTGGAGAGCGGTTTCTCCATGCATGGTGCCCAGGGATGGCTGTGAGCTGCTGCAACCCCGCCCCACGCTTCAGGGTGGGGGAGAAGGCTCGCAGCCACCAGCACCCTAGGCTGCACTTCCTGTGCCTCAGCCTGCCAGGTTGTCAGGGTCCAGAGCAGGTGAGCTGCTCCCTTCCCCCAGTGGTAGAACAGTGAGGAGAGTGCTGGGTGCAGGGAGGGGACCTCAACTGGGATCCTCCTGGTGTGGGGAAGGGGCCCGGCCTGGGCCCAGTGGGGAGCTTAGGAAGTCTGGCTAAGCAGGCGCTGGTTCATACCAACTCTTACTCTGCCATCTTCCTCCTGCTCTTCAAGCTAGCCCCCCTGCCCCACCTGTCAGGGGCAACAGGCTCTGGGTGACCTCCCTGAGTTCAGACTGTGGACCCAGAGACCTCAAGGAAGAGTGCAGGGGCTGGTGCAGAAGTACCAGGGCAGAGTTGCTTTGGTGTCTCGGTGAAGTTTGCAACTGACCCATGGTGGAAGCCCCAGAGGGGAAAGGCCAGGAGGCATGAATTCCCAGCACTTTAGCCACTTGAAAACAGCTCCACTTGGAATGTGAGGCGTTTATATGTTCAGCTGAGAAGTGAGAGGACTGAACTCCACCATCGCTGGGCTCCTGTCAGTCCAAGGCCCAAGCGTCCACCATGACAAGGAAAGAACAGAGTGAGGGGCCTGGAAGAAGGGAGGACAATTAAAGAAAACCATGTGTAGACTTTCCCCAGCCTACAAGAGCTGCCTACAAGAGCCCCAGGCCCGGCCACAGTTCTGTCTCCACCTTTTAGTCCCCTATTCTCCAACCACAGAGGAAAGAAATAAGGAAGGAATCTGTGCTGCCTTCAGAAAGTATCTATATACCTGATCGGTCAGTTGCCTTCCACAGAGGGAGGCCAGACTGTGGCTTAGGCCCACTCCCCACAGGGACATCAGTAGGACATCCTGTGAGGGCTCCCAGACTGTTAGAGGGGGCAGGATGGGCTGAGGGATGCCCCCCGAGTGCACAAATTTTTGTGCACCGGGCCACTAGTTGATGTTATATCAGTGGTTTGGTCATTTAGGAAAGGAGAAAAAAATACCATGAGAACATAGAGATGCCTACCTTAGTGGACGTAGCTACTGAAATTATTCAGAATCCTCCCTTTTACAGTCCTAGATACCCTGTTTCCAGTTAGACATTACTAAGGATCTGCACAGTAAAATGTTAATTTGAAATTTGTTTCCTTGAAATTGCTCTTGAGAAAGAGTTTACGTCCTATCAACTTGGTTGTTTTAATTAAAAATGTATTCTAGCTCTTAACTTATTTGCAACACTCCTTTCAAACTTATTAAAATCAAAGTAAATGCTTTTCTGATTATTTTCTGTTAAAACTGCGTCATAACAAAATACTAACATTTTTTTCTTCTGTTTCTAATCAGAAACTTAAACTTTATTCACTTGATATTTATAAAAATGTTGAACATGATTTGATAACTAGTTCTACTGTAGTGTGATGTCCTAATATGAGTACCAAATCATAGCTGTATTTATATATTAATGTTAATATCACATGCAAATGACTTTCTTATAAGTATTAATGTTTTAATATTTTGATCATATCAGATTTCTAGAAATATGCAGTTACACCTGAGTCTTAGTTCTTCATTTTGTATATGCATTATTAAAATGTGAAATTGTTTAATAGGTGATTTTATAAAACAGATATACATCATTCAATGAATAGTAAAGCTAAAATTCCAATACCATAAACCCCAAATAGCCGTCCTATTTCTTTTGTCATTCCAGAATTGTATGAATCCTCTTTGAAGTAATAGGTCATCACCTGGGACAAGGTGTTAATAGTACTGCTAACTCTGAAAGATTAAGGTTTTCTGGAGTGGTTCTTATAATATATCAGAATCTTGTTGTGGTGACCTGATGCACATCTACCAAAAATACTCAAATGGTTTTAGCAGTTATTAAATTCACCCATTCTTTTAAAGTATTAGAGAATTCTAGAGTTAGCAGTATAAATAGAACCGATTTCTCCTTAGACTTTTCATGTAAGGTTGATTTTTCTTCAGCAATAATAAATAAGTTAACTGTGTTTTACTTATATATCAACTTTTTGAATTGCTTTTACACTTTTTCAATTGTCATATAATATCTAAGAAAACAAAAGAATGTTCTCATGCAACATAAAATAGAGGTGCCATGGTCAGAATATGAATTTACCACATTGCAAACACACTGATGAAGTGTGGTATTTTTTTCTCTGAAATTTCCACACTTAACAGGAAACATAGACAGCAAGCCTGAGTGGGTGGGTCTCTGAGGTTAAAACTGTTAATAAAATACTTGAAATTTAGTTTTAAATGCAAAGCATTTATAACCATGTTTAGTTTATTAACAACAGTCGTGTTCTGATGCTTTATACTAGGTGAGTATAACTGGACTTTTTCCACCTTCAAATGACTTTTTTCCTCTCTTAGAAAATGAAAGTAGTTGATCTCCTAACTATAGTTAATAAATTCTCTTACAGCTTACATTTAGTAGTTTAATATATGAGAAAGAATAGTTTAACATTAAGAATTAGCATTTATAAGAGAGCCATAGATGCTAAAGTTCATGCTTTAAAAACTTCAGATTCACTTATGAAAAAATGAAATCTGAGTCAACATCCTTTTTTTATTTTTTAATTGATAACATTTACATCTCCTAGCAAATGTTAAATGTTCTTATATTAAGGAGATGTCATTAGGCCAAACTAAAAAGGCTTTGGCAATAAATATATGAAATGATAGGCATTTGTGTGGTTTAGATTCATAAATAATTTGTTACTCATGGTTTAGTAAAATTAATAGACTAAAACATTGCACTGAAAACTTAGATATATTATAAAATTCAGGAAGTAGTGAAGGACCTTAAGATTATATAGCGTACTAATAACATAGATACAAGTTGTAAGGTCAGAATTGGGATTTTGGGTCCCCACCCATCATGGTTTTTTTGTTTTTTGTGGGGGGTTTTTGCTGTTTTGGGGGGGGGAGAGTTTGCAGAAGAAAATGTTTTTGGCAGAAGAAAACATTTTCTACAAAAGAAAATAATTCAAGAGAGAAACATGGAAATGCAGAAAGGAATAAAGACTAATGTAATGGGAGAATATGTAAATAAATATAAAAGAATACCAACCCAATAATATCTTCTGGGATTTAAAATATGTAGAAATAAAATACAAGACAAATAATATAGTAACTTTAAAAGAATAAGACTAGTAAAATATTGTAGAAAATAAACAGGCGAACAGAGGAGAGATTAGAATACTAAGAAAGTAAATATAAGTCCAAATGTGCTTCCTGGTTTGTAAATAAATTTTATTGAGTGCTCTTGGTTATTGTTACCATGCTTTTTTTTAGTCCATTCTTTCTCTGTGTTCTTCAGTGAATTTATTTATTTATTTACTTTTTCAGTGAATTTCTTACTCAAATATAAAACTATCATTTATAAGATAATTTGTTATGTGTTTTTATACACATAGTTTAATTCATAATATTAGCCTCCATATTAGCTCTGCATATCAAAAAACTAAAATTTAAATAGATGTCATATATTTTCCATGAATTTTGGCTACTATTTGAATTTGCATACAAAAAAGACTTTAGTTGTTAACTTACCTAAAATTCTGAGGATGTTTAATCTCTGCAAAGATCAGTATCTTTTCTGAAAAGATGATAGCTGACAATATATAAATAGGTAACAAAACATATTCTTTTATTTCCCACCATGAGACAGAATAGTTTACCTTCTAAATGGGCGGGGAGAGGTCAATGAGGGGGGAAGGAGACATGTGTAATACTTTCAACAATAAAGAATTTAGAAAGGAAAGGAAAGGAAAAGGGAAAGGAAAAGGGACTTTAATAAACACTGCCTTTATAATTGAAAGAAAGAAAAGAAAAATATCCACTGGCCTACTACATATTAGAAGGAAAAAAATTCAAATAAAATGTACGATACATAGCTCTCATTTTTGCCCTGTCCTCACTGAGGCAGAGGATCAGGGTTTAGATTTAAGGGCATTCAGGAGATAATATGCTAGGAATTATTTAATACATCCAAGGGTTTCAGAGACTCTGGAATAGGAAGAGGCAATATCTACAATATTGATATTTGAGAAAATTTTTGGTAGCCATCTATTCCCTTGCTTTTTCCTTTTCTCCTTTTTTTCTGGTTTCTTTTCTTTTTCTCCTTTTCCCTATTCTCCCTCCTACTTTTTCTAGCTTATCTTTTCTTCCTTAATATAAAGCAGATTTACTTTCTTAGGAAAGTATTTGGTAAATAAGCCTCCGACTGCAGTAATTTCTTAAAAATAAACTATGTTTACTCATCTAGAATATGATATGTTAATACAAATTCTAAGTTTTGGCTTATAGTTTGGTGCATAAAATTAAAAATTTTTACATATTAAATTATTTCGGCAGATCCCCAAGTAAACCCTTGGCACGAAAATTAATGGATTGGGAAGTAGTAAGCAGAAATTCAGTATCTGATGACAGGTTGGAAACACAAAGCCTTCCATCACGATCTCCGCCTGGGACGCCTAATCAGTAAGTGCAGACTCACATCAGGTGTTCATTTTGCTCATTTCTAAATTATTGACTGTATATGTCCATTACTTGAAGATCAAAATATGTAAATCTTTCTTATTTAAACTTTGGTTAGATATGATTTTTGTTATTGCAGATCATTATTTCCTCTTAGCCTTTCTCTGAGCCTCTAGCATTGTGTAAGTGGCATGGAATAAGAGCCTCCCATCAGATGAGGTAGTAGAGCATTCAGCAAGGATGTCACTTTCTTACACAGTCAACTTTTAAAGGAAGGGTCCCTAACCAATAAATCAAAATCTGCTGCTAGAATTAAAATATGAGAATATGGTTGTTGTTGACATAATCCTTTTCCATGTGGATCTCCAATAGAATTTCTGAAGGAGCATATGTTGTCTGAAAATTCTAAGTGATTATGATTCTCTTACTTAAGCTCCTACTCCAGCCACTGCTCTGCCATTTTCTATGGTCTAGAACAGTGATGGCGAACTTATGACACATGTGTCAGAAGAGACACGTGAACTCATTTTTTTGGTTGATTTTTCTTTGTTAAATGGCATTTAAATATATAAAATAAATATCAAAAATATAAGTCTTTGTTTTACTATGGTTGCAAATATCAAAAAATTTCTATATGTGACACGGCACCAGAGTTAAGTTAGGGTTTTTCAAAATGCTGACACGCCGAGCTCAAAAGGTTCGCCATCACTGGTCTAGAAAGAGGGATTTCCAACATCAGTTCCCACAAGCTTGGCCATAGCTATGCTAAGAAGCAGTGTTATTCAGCACTTTCTGTTTATGAGTTATACTCTGGGATTTCTCACAAAGGCTGTATACTTTGGTGTAGATAATAATAATAACATCAACTTGTACTAGCCAAAGATGTTATCTTCATTTTATAATGCCAACAAATGTGTTGTAATATATATATGTAATTAAGATACTAATATACAGATGTGAGTCAGTACATTGACAGACCTTGTTAACCCATAGGTTGATAGTCAAAATATTTGAATTTTGGTATGGAATACAATATTTGAAGAGTCTTTCTTTAAAAATATCTCATACACATTAATATCCAATAAGTGTACACTGCATTAAAATTGTGTCACTGGTAGATGTTTATGAGCCAAAGAATACACTTCTACCATATTGCCAGTAAAGTATACATCAAAAGTTTGGTTCACAGAATGATACCTAATACCTAGATGTCTTTCTTACTACTAGAAAAAATAGACTAAAATGTTTCTGTCTTGCTAATTGCAGGTTGCTAAATCATCTTTCTTGAAAAGAGATTGTTTGTATTCAAAGGCTAATTAACTTGTTAGAAGAATATCCAGAAATTTCTTTTTCTGGGCTCTTTTCCATCCAGCCATTTATCCATTTGTGATCAGGAACAAGAAATTTAAACTAGATGATTGAATTAATTAGCAGTAGCTCTAATTAATGAAACAATTTTAGGTATGATCTGAAAAGATTGGCTTTTCTCTAAATTTTAAAGAGACAGTACAGTATAGTGGTTAAGAGCATGGGTCCTAGAGTCACTGTACATTGTAATTTTGAGAAAATTAATTAATCTTTGTCCCATTTCCTTTATCTATAAAATTATATTTATAATAATAGTGTCTTATAGTATTGTTTGAAAGTTAAATGAGATGCTGTAAGTAAAATGCTTAGAATAATGCCTAGCACAAAATGCACACAATAAGTACTCAAATGTTAACTAGCATAATTAATAATAGTAATGACAGTAATTCATGTGACTGTGTCATGTATGAGGATAGAAATATGTTACTCAGTATTTATTTGTAGGAAGTAAATCAAGTCCCATAAATAAAAACATTCATAAGAATTCAAAAAGAACATGCTAAGTAAGTGAAATCAGTCAATCAGAGAAAGCTAAGAACCATATGATTTCATTCAAATGTGGGATATAAAACTGAAACTCATTGACACAAACAACAGTATGGTGGTTACCAGAGGGAAGGGAGGAAAAGGGAGCCAAATATATGGTGATGGAAGACTATTATTAGACTGTGGGTGGTGGGTGCACAATGCAATATACAATGACAAAAATAATTCAGGCAAGAAGATATTTCTGAATCATTTATTCTATCCCTTTATTTTATAAGTGTTGATTAAGACACAAAGTTGTAGTAACTAAAACCTAGAAACATTGAAGTTGGTAGAGATAATAGATGACTAAATAGGTAAAATCCTTGTGGTAGATGATTATCTATAGCTCAGTTTTTGACTTCTTATTCTGTGTTCTTTCTGTTTATGTCACACTGTTTTTGTCAGAGACTCTGAGTAGTTGATGTGGTTAGTCTTTAAAGTACACACCCATTTTTTGAAGGAATCATGTAAATAACATTTTAAAAATTGAATTAAGCACATTTTCACTCAGTTTTCTTCCTCTTTGTGTAGTCGAAATTCTGCATTCACACAAGAGGGACCCCGGTTACGACCATCTTCAGTTGGTCATTTGGTAGACCGTGTGGTTCACACTTCCCCAAGCGAAGTATTTGTGAATCACAGATCTCCATCTTCAACACAAGCTAACAGCATCATTCTGGAATCATCACCGTAAGACCTTTTCCTGTTCAATTTCCTTCTTGTAAATAATAATGCCCCAAATTGTTTCACTGGAAATATTCTTGGAAATTAGGGTATTTGATACAAGATTTTATTTTTGCAATGTTTTAAAATTTTATATATTTGCAAATGTACTTACTTGTCTCTGAGAGTTCTTGGTGCTCCCCTCACCAAAGAGAAATCTCCATTATTTTATTGACTCAATATGTTTTGAACTTTTAGTGCATACACTTAAATATCTCTGCAGATACTATAGCACTGTGGTAGTCAGTAAGGTAGTGAAAGGTAGAGTTTTTAAAAATATTTTTCAGGAAGGGACCCATAAGATAACTAGACAGTTTGGAAACATTAAGTAGCAGAGGAGAACTAAGTAAGATGACTGTCACACTGAAAATAAATTATAGAAACTATGTACACATGTCTAAAATTCATTCCTATTTCATATTATACACTGATAAATTCAACTTCATAAGTCAGTATATTTTTTTATGCTTTTTAAAAACTTTTTTTATTGAAGTATTATCTAGAGAGACAGGTGCAAATGTCATAAGCAAGCAGCTTGATGAAATTTCACCATGTGAATGAATGTATTTGTGTAGCTTACACCCATAAGCAAAAAACAACATTGCCAGGTCTGTGATGTCCTCCTGTGCTCTCTTTCAGACACACACACTTTTCCAAGGATAGCCACTAAGGCTCTGGGTTGTGTCTTTTTTTTTTATTATTAAATCTTTATTGTTCGGATTGTTACAGTTGTTCCTCGTCTTCCCCCCATAGCTCCCCTCCACCCGTTTCCCACACCACCCTCCGCCCTCACCCCCCCCCCCCCCACTGTCCTCATCCATAGGTGCACGATTTTTGTTCCGTCTCTTCCTGCATCCCCCACACCCCTTTCCCCCCCAAGAATAGTCAGTCCACTCCCTTTCTATGCCCCTGATTCTATTATAATCACCAGTTTATTCTGTTCATCAGATTATTTATTCACTTGATTTTTAGATTTACTTGTTGATAGATGTGTATTTGTTGTTCATAGTTTGTATCTTTACCATTTTCTTTTTCTTCCTCTTCTTAAAGGATACCTTTCAGCATTTCATATAATTCTGGTTTGGTGGTGATGAACTCCTTTAGCTTTTCCTTATCTGTGAAGCTCTTTATCTGACCTTCAATTCTGAATGA